AAATGGCCTGCGTTGGGGACAGAATTCAGGTCGATTTCCAGACGGTCAGGTCAGAGGATATGGAGTAGATGTCTATCCGTGTGAGATTTGTGGGAGTTATGTGTTTGGGACAGTGGGTTTGTGAGTTGTGTTTGCAAGAATTTGTGACAATGTGTGTGACGGTCTGAGATGGCATGTTTGTGAGTGTATGTGTATTTGTGAGTGGATGTTTGCATTTGAATCCATGTATGACAGTGTGTGATAGTGTTGTATGTGTGTGCACTCATGCCTGCGTGGGTGTGTGCCCACCAACCCGCCCAGTCCTGGCGGCCCAGCCTCCTGGGGACCATGTGTTTTCAATTAGCAGTATCCCGCTTGGGAGGGAGGGAGAAGGCGCTTCTTGGGGCAGCTTCTGAAGAGCGGGTGGGCCGGCTCAGGCTGCCCCAGTTCTGCTCCATGCAAGGAGGCTGAGGCCGCCCCAGGCCAGCCTGCTTTCCAGCGACTGGGGCAGCCACACAAAGAGCCCTCTTTCCTGCGCCAGCCCTTGGAACCTTGGTCCTCCCCCAGATCATAAACCTGCCTGTGAAGACGTTCAGAAATAGTTTACCCACACTCACGCATGTGCAAATGCTGGAATTCCATTTGCTATAAAGTTTTATTTTATTTTGCTTGGAAGGAGAGTGAGGGGGAGAAGAAGAGTCCTGCCCTAATTTGTTCTAGGGTAAAATATTGTATTTTATACAGAGGTGTACACCTGTACACAAATTCTTTTTGCTTGCTGCCTGGGGGGTTGTGCAGGTCTGTATGTACGTATCCCTACCTGTAGCTGTACACTGCTCATAGCTCAGGAGCACATACCTGTGGTCAGTCATACCCAGGCCACCTAAATGATGCACTTTAATGAAACTGGATCTAGTGATCTGAGGCTGTGCCTTAAACCTCATTATTTTAACTTCTAATTAACACTGATGCAGTTCAAGTATGTAGCACAATCACTGGCATATATTATGCACTTAATATACTTAATATAAATTGGTTAAATGAATAAATCGAATTTGATTTAAAAAGTGACCCAGTACTGATGAGAAAGGTAGGAAATAAGCACTGTGTGAGATTCTAGACCACAAGGAAAGGCCTGGGCTTGAGACCTCTGGGTGACCCAGGGGCTTTGGCATGGAATGTCCCAACAATATTTACTTACTTCAAGTTTCTTCTTTAACCCTCCAGTATTTCTCAAGACTTCTGTTGAGATGGTGAGAACCTCTGGGTTCTAAATATAGTCTGAAGAGACCAGAGGGGGTGTTAATGCCTCACTTCTGCTGGAACTGTGTTTCCAAAGTGACTTATTGTCACCGGGAAAGAAATGTCCCAGGCAGAGAATCCTCTGAGCCAGGGCTTAGGCCCTGCAGGGGTCTTGCCAGCAGGGGCTTTCTGAAAAGGCCTGAAGGAACCTACCTCATTCCAGGGCATGGATTTTGGAATTAAGGCCCTTATTGTGATTTTATAACTTGGAGAAAACATCAACACTGGCACTGTTAATTCTAGTTCACAGAAAGGCCATTTTTAATAAGAAAAGAGAAAAACAATTTGAAGGCTTTACAATTTGTTGTCTAACGACATTATTTCAAGTAAAATGAATATGTGATTAAAACCTTGATTTCAATTTCAAGTAAAGTGAATATGTGATTAAAACATCTTGATTTCCCAAAACCATTCAGAAGAGGCTTTGACAAAAACAAAGGGGCCCAGAACCCCGGAGTGTCAGGTCCCGGCTGCTACAAACTTCAGCAGTCCCCGCTCAGGCGGGCTGGGACAATGCATCTGCGGTGGAGGTCACGGGGAACTGGCCAGATCCAAGAGCTCCTCTCCGAATCCCCGCGGCTGCAGCCCCACACCGGCAACTCCACAAGGGGATCCAGGTCGGTGGGTGGCGCCGGGCTCCGCAGACACGCTCAGGCATTGGGGTTGGTCCTCATGAGCTCCACGTCTGCGCTCACCATCTCCCTCACCAGCTCCTGCGACCATAGGCACCGGGTGGGCGTGAGGGAGAGGCTTCTGCCACTCTGTCCTGGTGACATCCCAACCCCAGAGAGCCTCCCTCATCCCACCCGGATTCCTGCACCCCCCCTCCCACCGTTATCCTCCTCCCGTCCCCACTTCCTCTCCTCCCAACCTCTTCTGGGCCTTGGGCACCAAGGGCGCCCCGCTGAGGCCCCGCTGCCCCGGGAGCCCAGAAGTACACCCGGTCTGATCCCTTTTGGGAGGGCCACACTTACATCAAAAGCAACTCGGGGTTTCCAGTTCAGCTTCCGTTTCGCCTTGGTGCAATCTCCCTGCAGAAAGTCCTGGGGGAGAAGAGGAGGAGATGAAGCAGGCTTGGGTCCCGGGAGGCTGGGTCCCATGTGGCAGTGACCCCCACCCGCCCGCCGCTGTCGGCCTGAGAGCTCCATCCGGACGCACAAGGCTCCCTGTTTTCCTCCTTTCCGTCCTTGCTGGCTGTCAGTCGCGTAAATCATGAGAAGGTCGCGCGGGTAAGAAAGCGGGAGTATGGTCGTTCGCTGTACAGGCCAGGGAGGTCCGCGACAGCCAGCCGTCCCTAGATCGCCCCAGACACCTCCTCCCATCCTCCTCCTTCTCCCCACCGCGTCTCAATGACTCCTAATGACTTTTTTTTTTTTTTACATTATGTTGTCAGGGACGCTACTGTGAGAACTGTTTCAAATTACTGCACTTCTCAGGCAAGAAGAGAAGTGAGTAAATCACCGGTGTCCCCTCCTCCCCAGTTGCCCGCTCCCGCCGCAGGGCGGCCGCACCGCCGCCGCAGCCGGGCTCCCTGCCGCCCAACGCGGCCAGCCACACGAGGAGGGTCTCGGAGAGTAGAGGCTCGAGGTCCCGGCAGCGGGGAGCTGTGCTCCTGGCAAGATCCTAACCCGGCGGCGGCTTCAAGCTCTTCCGACCCACGGTAGAGACAGCTAACGCTGCCTCCAGCACACCCACAGGTTCATAAAATGAAACCGGAGTTTCACGCAGCAATACTTTCCCTTAATGTCCATGGGCACTATATTCTGTTCTATTCTATTCTATTGTTCTGTTCTATTTCTTAGATAACGCAGCTCTCGACCCATGCAGCCAACGCTGCTCTTCAGGGAGCCCAGCCCTGTAGCTTCCACAGCTACCGTCCCTTTTAGGGGCTTCCTTCTCCCAGCGTTCCCTGACACCTCCAATGGAGGCTCAGGTTAATTTTCTAATGAACCTCCAAGATCCTAAACAAGATGCTGGGGCTGCCATTTGCTCGATACTCGAGTATCAAGTTCTCATCCCATCCAACAGTACCTTACCAAAATACAAACAAGGAGGCTGGTGATTCTCTGGCTCTGCCTGCCCAGCTGTACCGTACAGGGAGGGGAACAAACTCAGCAGGGCTTTATGGAGAGCTCAAAGGACGCCAAGGACAGTTCATTTCCATGCACTTTGAGAGACTTCCTTGGGAGGAAGACTGGTTGAAGGTGTGGAGAAGGAATCAGTCCACATCTCAGCTCCCACTCACCATTAAAAAGAAATTACAGTTCTCTTAAAGAAACTGATTTAGATAATGATTGAGATGAGAATTTCAAGGTAAGTTGTAAAAAGGAAGGATGGGAAAGGAGGGATGGAGGAAGGGAGGAAGCAAAGAAATGAAGGAAGAAAGGAAGAAAAGGAAGAGAAAGACTTTGAAATCATGTCATTTTTAGAAGTGAGATAAACATTTAGCTTTTCCGTACACAAACATGTTCATCAAATAGTGCATAAGACATGAATCCTCAAAGAAAAAAACAAACAAGAGACGGTGAAGGCAGTATGAAAACGGCCAGTCTTTCAAGGTGCTAAATACTTGATAAAGCTACTCTATGTAAGCTAGATGCAATATAAAGGACAACCTAAAATCAGTTACATCATGTGAAAGTAACAGATAATCAAGCTGCAACTGAAAGGCTTTCTCACTTATTTTCTTCAGACTCTCCTGAAATTTGGCAGGCCTGGGAATTTGTTCTAGCTTCAAGATGGAAAGGCCAGGAGGCAGGGCAGGACCTGCCTGTGCTACGCTTGGTGCTCACCTTCTCTGCAGGGCCTTCCTCACAGGAGCTGTCCACATTCTACCATAGTCTGTACCGCTGCCTTGAAACTGTACCCTAGCACCGTGCATTCAGCCACTCACTCACAATCACCTATCACTACGTTTTCAGAGGCTTTGCATTTCACAGTACACCAAAGTACTGAGTTCCTTCCTAGAGTGTTAATAGTAAAACTAGTTATTTCTGTTGGCCCTGAAAGCCCATATAAAGATTCTTCAGGAAAAGTAGAATACAAAAGTTAGTAATTAACAATTTAACATAGTGCTATGTGGAGGTAGCAGTATAAGTGGAAAAACAAAGTCATTCATTCCTTTCAGCTTTTCCTAAATAAATTTGTATATCCTTCTACAAGACTTCTATTTCACTATAAGCACCACACAAAGATACTCATTCTTTTTCCCCAGAGGAAGCTGTGCAATGTGTAGTCATGAAGCCTGTCTCTTCCCTCCCTCAACCCTATAGCAGCTACATGGCTTAGAGAAACACTGGCTGTAAATCAACCAGCATGGCAGAGGATGCAATTCATGGCTGTGAACTTATAGTTAGCAAAACCCTAAAACCCAGTTTGGCCTCAGATAATCTTGGTAGGCTTGGGAGAGGGAGCTTTGTACTGTAATTATGTTTCCTGTATTTTTCTACAAGTAGCTTATAATATAAAAACAACCAGGAACTGCAATTAAGGAAAAAGAAAAATGGTTTTCAAAAGCGTAGAAACAAGCACTGCTACCAGGCACTGTGAAAGTATTTCATTGAAACCAGAGATGCGCTCAGTTAAACTTCCCAATTTAGTTTTGAGCCGAGCTCCTACACGGCAGTCTAGCAGCTTCCTTTAGCCTTCTGCCAAGGCTCTGTCTCCCTGAAATTTAATTAGACCAAGAGACCTTGGGACGGAAAAGGATAAGGTCCCATCAGAACAAAACAGTGGCTCTTCATGCCAGCTGCTACTGAGCTGCATCTGGACAGGCAACGTGCTTGTGCCCCAGTCAGCTTTTACGGAGAGATTAAGGACATCCCAGCTTGTTTTACATTTAACTGTTCCTGAAGGAATTTCCTACTTCTTCCCATTGTGTCAGTGGCTCATTCTGGGTACAGGGCACACTTGAGGGGTGGTGTGAGGGAGGCCTGCGTGGGAGAGTGCACGCAGCTCTGGAATGAGGGCAAGGATGTGGAATCACTTCTTTAAAAGGCTTCCTCCGGCCTGAAGAAAAATCAGACAGTGACAACTGTACTCTTAGAAGGAAGTCCAGAAGAACTGTGTTCAGACGCGGGACTGTGAGAAGCCGTGGGGAGTGAGAGGGGACACCAGGCCACAGTGTATGTTCTACTTATATTTAACTCTCTTTTAAACTCTTTTGAACATCCACAAACTCCCTCCACTAGGGCATGATCAGATCCCAAAACAAGAGAGAGAAAATGAGCTTATCTATTTTGCTCTTTTCTTCTTTTTTGACAATTCAGTTCCTTTGTTATTTATAGACTGACAGCCATAGTATGACCACAGGGGCAAATGTGGAATTAAAGTGATGATTTTATGTGGAGTTTCCAAAAAGGACTCAGTGCATTGGGTGGTCTGGAGCTTTTCTTAAAAAAAGAGACAATAAAGCTCTGAGAAAAATTTAAAGCATTTCTGTGTGAATATGACATTTCCTGAACTCTGGCTTCTGGTGTCTTCACTGTTTTCATTGCTATTCCTTAGGTGAACTATACGGTTTCAATATGTAATTTATTATTGTCAAATTCAATTAGGTTTAACTGAGCATTTTACAGCAGCAAAACAGCATGAGCACAATGTCTATGTCCAGACACTCCTCCCCCCTTCATATTTCTGACTCGCTGACTGCTGTTTATTCATTTGACCTTCAGGAGTTGTCCCTTAAACTGCATCACCCAGGCATAAACCTTAAAGGCTCAATACTGACGGTCGGAGTTGCAAGCAACAGCGTGGCAGGAGGGCATGCTTTGCTGCAATTTTTTAGGCTTTCCTGGCTTATGTTCTTGTTAGAGTGAACTGATAAAGTGCCAGACCAAATTCTGGAAAAGTCATTAAGCCAGTTCCTGAGCCCACAGTAGTTAACATAAACTCCAGAAAAGGAGAGACCATACCGTGCCTTGATCTTCTAACCAAACTATAGTTTTCTTTCCCCAGCTCTCTTCCATCAAGATGACACCACATCTTTCAGTCCCACTAGTCAGCTTTCTTTCCTCCCCCCAATCTTATTTTGATAATTCATTAACGTGTTAAATCCCTCTGACACCCACACCACATACACACACCACTGTATCCAAAATCATCGTGGGTACTGCTATTAACTAGACTGTACAATTTTTCAAGTTCACAGTCTCATTTCTTTTTCTCCCTTTTTCAGTGAGATTGCTTTGGGAGATTTTTAATATTTAGTTCAAACTATGTGTTGGATACTATGTTTCCTATTTAGGTCTACTTATAAGTTTTGAAAGCACATCTGCTTAGGTGGAGAAACACTGTGAGTGTGAGATCTCTTGGCAGGATGTTGTTAAATTTCCAATGTACATCTTGGAAGAAATCGACTCTTAAGAGCTATGAATAGGAGAAGGTGTATAGATGGGGGTGTTCATAAGGAAAACCAAGACTGATTAAAGCCCCAGTAAAACATCTTCAGGAATGTAAGACATGGAGCTGTGAGTGGCATTCAATATTCATTTCCACCCCTCTAATTTTCTTAGAAAAGCAAAATGGAGGAATAGCTCAGGTTCTAAGAGAATAAAAGAATGCCAATGAATTTGGCTCTTGATCTAACTTTACGCTAATGTTGAATGGTAGAAAAGTTGATTCTTGGGCTAATCCTTCTTTAGTAGAAAGAGCTGCTAAAAAAAAAATACCCAACAACAACTTCAGGAAAAAATTTTAAATTTGTACACAATATACTAGTAAGAGTCAAGAGAGGCAGCTTAGAGTAAGACTGGGAAAAAAACAAAAAAAGAAGTCTGAAAGTTCCCCTACTAAGTCTGTAATATATGGTACGTCTTTCTGGGTGTACTTTAAACTCCTTTATGCTTATGAAATTATCCTGTGGTTTAATGCTTCCCAAAGAGGGAGTGAATGTTAGAGCAGTAAGAAATGTGATGGCGTTAATAACAGCAGTGAATATTTCCCCTCTCTTCCCCTTCACTGCTATATATCAGCACAAATTGAAGCTGAGGCCAGGCCTCTCCTTTAATGACAAGGGGTGATAAAAGACAAGAAGAAAACAGCG